TATTTCCACTTTTTTGTTCCCAGCAATTTAGATAATTTCACTTCTGAAATATGCTGGGTGAAGTAACTGTACTTTGTGTATACACTGGGTCACAGCTTTTCAGGTGAGGCTGAGGCATTTAATCCAAAATGGCTAAAGCACCAGCCGAAGACAAATCTCTCCTAAAAATTTTAGCAAGTTACATTATTCAAAACTATTCAGCAAGCATTCCAGCAGCAACATGATGGATGCACGGGCCAGTACGGGTACACAGCTAATCAATATCAAACCCATGAATAGTCAGTGTGTAGTGTGGAGCCTGATGGGGAAGAGACAGGAGCATGTGCTTAATATTCAGCACCAGGAGCAGGCCCCCAACTTCCAGCCAGACCACTCGCTGCAAATCCCAGCTACACACACACATCTTTGTAGGAGGATTCAGGGCATCTGTTTATGCCACCCATGGCAAATAGTTAAGGAACTACCAAAGCCCTTGGATAGCTGTGCTTCAGTGAACTTTCAGAAAAGGCTACTATTTACTGCAGTCCTGATTTAATGACAACCACATAAAACCATTTGTTTTTGAAGAGGCTATGGCACAACACCGGCACACAACGCACACACATTAATGTGCATTACTTGAATAAATTCCCCACTGCTTGTATCACTGAATATAAGGTCTTCCTCATACATTTGACTAATCAATACTTGGAATCAAATACACTGTGTTTCATGAGGGAAAAGGAAAATGAATGAGGTTAAATTAATGCTGTCACTTTCTATAAACCTGCAATGATTTCCCACTATAGAAACCACTGACTTCATTATTTTACAGCTGGAAATCAAAGATGCAGCATATTTTAAAAGCCTAATTTACTCAGATTAATAAAAAGGCACCCTCAAGGCTCATCATTTATGTCATATTATGCTTTGTTTTAAGCATTCCAGCTTAAGAACAGTGTGCAAAACTCTCTGCAAATCACATTGATTAATACTTTGAATTTGTATGCAGCAGCGCACTGCACTCACAAAGTACTATATAAATATTATTTTATTAAATTTCAAAGCAATTGTGTTAGGTGGGACAATAAAATGTCTCTGTCTTACATCCTTTATCTCAACAATACAGCCTTTAAAACAGAAGCAAAAGTAGTAAAGTCATAAATTTACTTACAGAAAGAAAGTTGGAAATGAGGGAATTCCAGACTTCTAAAGCTGTGCTAAGACCAGCAAAGCACAGACATCTATGTCCAAAGTAGAAGCATCTGCCAGAGGTTTGCAGATGTCCCTTATCTTCTGTTGTATGGTTAGAGAAAAAGCTAGTGATATTTTTCAATTCTCTAGTACTCAAAAGCATTTACAGCACCTTTTTGGAGGAACCTCATTTCATGAGGATGCTGCTGGAGGGCAACCAGCTCATTAGGGAAAAGCTGAGAGGACAGAACAAGGACACCAGTAAAAAATTAGTTGGAGTAATAAATAAATAAATTAAAACCACCACAAATAACAAAAGAGGTGACAGATATTTGTCTCTTTCTCCTTTCTATCTCTCTATTTTAATTAACACAGCAGACCACTTTCTGGAATGTCTCCCTTCCTACCAACTGGCTTGTAGCTCCTCTTGAAAGCTTCTTAATAGCGAATTCTCCCAGAAATCTTTCCAATATAATCTTATTTTCTATTCATAAATGGTCACTAAAACAATGGTAGATCACTGCAATACAATTATTTGTTAAATTAGTATTGTACTGTAAGCTTCAGTACAAAGTCGGAGACATATCCTCACACTAACAAATACTGTTCTTTAAAAGTACGGCAGCTAAAAGCAGAGACTATGGTAAATAATGTCTTAACTATCAAATCTCTAAAAACCTGGAGCACCTAATGGCATTTAAGAGAATTTCTCAATCTGCCATTAATCAGCTCATCAAGAGTGTTTATCAACTGGGGCAGTATCCTTCAGAATTGCTATGTCTAAATAATACAGCTTGATGTATACAGCCTCCTCACCAAAAAGGCGTAATTTTTGATATTCATGGTAGAAATGTGATGTTAGCCCTTGCACTCATGTAATTTGCCATTAGAAATTTTCATAGTTTTTTAAAGAATAGCTATTTCTAGCTATCCCTTAGTTATCCCTCTGTAACAACTGAAGCAAGAACTGAATAATTTTCCAATTATACCTCTTCATATTCAATCTATTTGTTAAAATACTGAACAGAGCTTCTCTTGGAACATTTCTCCCCATAGTAATTCCCCACAGAATTGTTTATCAAGAGCCAAATGGGGCATAAGTGAATAGCAATATGGCTCTAGGACTGATGGCTTCAACCAAATAAATGCTGTAATCAGCATCAACACGTAGAACATCAACAGAATTTTTACTGTACTACAAATAGTCACAGAACTATATGAGTTTATAGAAGTGTAAAGCTCTGCATTAAATTAACTGTGTGTCTTCAACATGATCACCTGATCAATTTTGTATTCTGGTGCCTGAAGAAAAAATTGCATTAAAAATATTTGGTAATATAATTTAATTGAAGAAATTTAGAAGAGTTCTATTTAGGTATGAACAGAGACGCCTCTTGGAAAAAAACAAAACAACAAAAACAAGCAAACCCAGAAGTGAAAACAGAGAATGAATTGATTTGGAATTACTGAAAAGGATTTTTTTGAAAAGTCTTGAATCCTGGAAATTGGCCACAACTTAAACTTACCAGAGGAATCAGAAATGTTGTTGAAAGTGTTTAGATGTCAGTATCTAGTTCAAGGCTTTTATGCAGTTCAGTGGTATTTAAATGCTAAATCAATAAAAGTCAAGCATACTACCTCAATATCTTAATGCAAACTAAGATGATGACTCACAACCGTATTAACCATTTTATGCCAGATCCTCATGCAATATAAAGACATCAGCTTTATTTGGTGAAATTGAGTCAACTCCATACTGAGACTCTATCCTTCCAAATCTTTCTTCCAAGTGAATGACTTAAACAAACAGTGACAGCTAGGAAAAGCCTACATTTTTTGCAGCTAGATTCACCACCAAACAAATAAAACCAAAGAGCAAATATTACTAAAATAAACACATTTGTGTTTAAAGACAATGTGCATACTTGCACTGTGCGTCTCTACATTACTAATCAGAATAGAACTGGTCACCATTTTTCAGAGGACAATGTAGATATCTGTTTTAAAAGCATCTCATTTGCTCTGGATAATGAGCCAAGAGTGGGAAGATTATGTGTCATATCACATCTCCATCTTAATTACTTCTCTATCAAGTATGTCATTCAGACTTTATTATTTTAGCTGTTCTAGAAGCTGCTACAAAATCTCTGTAATCACATACATGTCCTAGGGTGACTTTATGATGCATGCATCCCCAATCATCTGTTCTATCTATGCTGGATATTAAGTTCTACACCTTTTTTTTTCAACTTCTCTCCAAAGAAATCTTCCCAAACCAGCTGGGGGACGGGCCACTTGCACCTGTTTTCTAGAGGAATCCCTTCAGAAGTTTCCTCCAAAATCTGTCCCAAACCAGGATGCTGGACATAACATTTTTTTCGCTGTTAATTCAGTAATTTGCAAAAAAAAGAAGGAAAACAAAGGTCAGACCAAGTGCAACACATTAGAGAAGTTTATTTATGGAAAGCAGTTCGGCCAGTTAATGCATTTCTAACCAGTCCAGGGAATAAGTAAGTCCGAACCCCATATGATTTCTTATAAAATGTAGTGTTTGTTTTTGAAGCTTTTTGAAACCACATTTCTTTATCCATCATTTAACTTTCTGTTAACTGTTAATAGCACTATTCAAAATGGGTTTGAAAGGGCCTTTTCTGTGCAGTTCATTTACTGAATCCCAGCTTCCAATAATTTAGAAAATTATAATCATGCACATATTTCTGCTGCAACCCTCCATACAGTCTACGAAAGAAAACAGATGTTCTATCCTAAAAGTAGATATGCAAACAGGTTTAAAAAGCACAATACAATGGTTACACAGAATTATCAGAGGTAATTCAGGTATGTTCACAGAATAATCATACATAGAAAATATCAAACAGGAGCACAGTTCAAGAAGTTTCTCTGTAACCATTGCTAAATTTGAATCTATGAAGGGATCAGAACTGAAGATGATCCACACTAGCCAGCACATGTCTCCAAAACCCCACTTCCACACGAGTCTGCAAGGATGTGCACTACGTGCACCTACGTGGGTGAATGAAGAAACAGATCAGGGAACAGCAGATAAAAGAGAAGGTGAGAATTACTCTGCTTAAATGCACAGCACTGTCAGAATAGAGCATCACAGCAGAGAACAAACTCAGAACTCTACCTGGGATCAAGCACAAGTCCCACATAGGTTTGAAGACTCTCCAAACCCTGCTGAGTTAGCAGGACTTCAATTCACAGACCCCTGCTGTCCCACATCCCAGCCAGAGAGACTGCAGCATTCCTCATCACAGGTCCCACAACTTACCTTGCATAATCCTATTATAAAATGGCCATAAACACAATACATAGCAATAGTTTACTGCTATTAATCAAAGTAGTGCAATAAGACTTTAACCAACCATGACAGAAACCATCAAGTTACACTCCTGTTTCAAACCAAACCTTCTTTATTTGAAGAGTATTATTCTGGCACACACAAAATGTGATCATAGTTATTCCACCAATGCTCTTTTGTTAAGTGCCTGGGGTAGGCAGCAGTCATTTTAAGTATTTAGAAAAACAGATGGGTCTGCCCTTGGTACTGAAATTCTGTAGCTGTAAAAATCACTTCCATTTCATAACTGACCATATGAAGTCCAAGTGCTGTGTAAATAGCATTTTCCTGATTAATTACAAACACATCCAGAAATAACTCTAAAAAAGGAATACCATACCACTCTCCTCCTTCCAAGAAAATTACTTCTTTTTATTTCCAAGTAATTGCACTGAACATGTTTGCTTTATATTTCTAGAGCAACAATACATCACTGAAGACAGACAGCATTTATCTGACTTACCAGAATGATGGTGATGTTGTTCTTCCAGGAACTCCAAGTCAAGCATTAGGTCATCTTCATCCAACTCACAGGAACCCAAGTTATTCAAAACATCCTAGTACAGATTAAAAAAGGAAAAGAAGCATTAGAAGCATTTAGACAGATGTTTTAGACAAATTGCTCAGCACATAATAATTTCTAATCACATTTGGACAATATGTTTAAGGAGGAGCTACAGAAAATTTTTCTGCTAATTTTAGACCAGTGAGAAACAGTATGAAACAACTGCCTAACCTGAAATGTGTGTCACTGTTTTTAGAGGGTATCAAATATTTAACAACAAACCCCAGAAGTACAACTAATACCACCTACCTTTTTTATTTTCACTGTTCAGTGATGGTTTTGTGCTTTTTTAAGTTTAATCAGAACTTTTTATGAAGAATAAAAATGTTATTCTTAGCACAACAGTATCAGTGAGTGTTTTTTATTAAATTTTGGAATTCTAAACACTGCCTGCCCTTTCCAATATACTTTGAAGAGAGATTGACTGTTCTATTGATCCAAAGGATAAAGACACACAAATTTAGCATGAACAGGAAATTCAGGCATGAATTATCAACTTCTGAATTTTTAAGTATTCATGTGAGTGGCAAAGGCTTACATAGACTGAGAATTCTGACTCTTAAATGTAGCTGCTTATGACCCCATTACCTTTGTTTGCCAAGTCTTAACCACAGATAAGGCAGGTTTACAGACAAGGACAGTAATAATTCTCCATCTTCTTCCCATGTGTATTTTATTCTATGGTCATTTATTTTGACCTGGTAATAATACATGGATTTTCTCCACATTCATCAACACATAATCCAAGCTAATTTAATTCCTTGTCCAGCTGGCATTTTGTTTGCTGCTCAACAAGCAGGGCTCAATTCTTCAGTCCCTCCACAGGCAAGTAACTTATTTGAGGCTGCATGGGATGGATGCTGGCACCCACCACTGCACATGCTCCCAACACTAATGCAACATAACAAATCACAGTAAAAAAGGCCAGGTTATTGTCCCAAAGCATTGAACTGTCTGGGAGATCTCTGCATGGCAATCTGCTTTATAGAAAGTAGATAGTAGTACATTAAACTAGTAAAAGCCCTTCTTGACTTCAGTTTCAACCTTATTTTTTTAGGTTCCTTCTAATTCTTTAAAGTTTTTTCCCACCACAATAGATGTCACCTCTCATTCCTACTCACCACTTGTACCTATTCAACCCTTTGGAATAATTATTTCTTCAAACGCTGTTTTCTGCTCTTTCACACAAGCAAAGGATTAGGCAACACAAGGACTTTTTCTTGCATTCTTTCCCTGACTTACCATCAGCACAAGAAACCTTTCATGACATACAGAACCCATTGCTCAGGCTGTTATGATATTTTTTGCTCCCTTTTAAATTTAGATGCTATTATGCAGGCAAGCTTAATCAAATGACAAACTCAGAGAATGTAAAACATACTTTGTTTATACATTGTTTTTACAATGTAACAAAAAAAAAAAAAAAAAATTGGTGAAACTATCCAGAACAATCCCTGCAATTTTTGAGCAATAGCAGGAAGTTTTTCATGCCAGTAGAGGCAAAAGGCAAAAATGTTTGAGTACACAGGTTTGTTCTTTGCCTTAAAATTTTTGTCTATACTAGAGCTGACCAACTGAATCCACATCGATATCAATGCTGAGCATCCTTTGATAAGCTAAATTAGCAAGGAGCAATGAATTCATGCTGAGCATGTCCTACATCTTGTGCAGAAATTTATGTGTGGTCTGAAATCCTAGGAGATTGCCTGCAAAAACATAGTGACTCACAGCCTTCATCAAGAAACAAATTCCATTTGATTTGGAATTAACAAACACAAACAGAACTTTCTGAACTGAAGAGCTGAAGAACTGTGTAAGAGGGACCAAAAGAAAAAGTCTGTATTCAACTCTTCTCCTGCTTATTACTGCTTTTTGGGAAGATGTTCACTACCTGAGTCACTCTCCAAGTGGAGGCAAACCATGGTCTGTCTATCCTCTCTGTGCTGCAAGGCTGATGTACATCCTGCTCCATACAGCAACATCTCTTCTCGTCCACCTGAGCTCAGGGCTCTCCCAGCTGCTGATCCCCTTGCCTTCCCTTTCCTACAGCCCCTTCAACTGCACCAATAACAGCAGGCAATCTAAAATGACAAAGAAAAGCCACTCTGTGTTTATTCTTTCCTAAGTATCTCCTCCAGGGAAATAGTCTCCCTCTGCTCCTAATAATTGACTTTTTCTTTATAAAGGGACAAATAACAGGACTGGGACCAAACAAATCAGAGCAGCTACTGTCCATCATGGCAAGAACCAGGGTTTGACAGGATTGCTCCACCTCCCAGGATGTTAATGATGGCAGTGTCCAGCTGATTCTCTGCTCTGCCAGCTCACCTGTGGGCACAGTGTTCTTCCATGGACACAAACCAAAAATGAACTCATGAATGCATAAAAGCCCACCCAAGCAGAGAGCATTAGTTAGATTCCCAGGGCTGTTCTGAATAAGTAATATTTTCTGAAAACATATAATTAGAAAGTAAGAAAGCCGAGCTCCCCGACTGACCTGCCTAATGTCACAGCACAACTCAGAGATACTGCTGCGAGTACACACCAATGTCCTCCACCCCTCCGCCTCCTCACCAGGATTCATTACTCCTCTGTTGCTATGACAATTAGCGAAAAATTTAATTTCCTTTAAAGTTTAATATCTCTTGACCCTTTGCCCATTCTTCCCCTCACCACTGCCACAGCAGTCTTTGAAGAATAACACAATTAAATATTAAAAAAATAAAATAAGAGAGAGATCGAGCCCTAAAGAGCATTCCAAGTGAATAATTTCAAGGCTTTTCTACATAAAGAAAAAAGAAATTAAATTTTCCATCAAGGTCTTAAGGAACCATTGGTTGTCTATTTAGGGCAGCATAGCTTTTACTTATTTTAGGAGGCAAACCACTTAGTTAAGGCACAACTTTGCAGCAAAAACCTCTTTATTAAGCCTGTCATAGCCCTACAGAAGCCTTAAGACAAAATTCCTGCTTCCAGAGTCTGCCTGACTTCTACTACCATTTTGACTTTATAACAGACTCAAAATTAACATGATGGTGTTTTTTTTCTTCTAGTCAATCTGCAAGTTGATCATAAGCCCTGACAAGAACATATGAACACAATCAATCTTTTACCCACACATCTCAGATTCTCCAGGTCAACACAGCCTGCAAATAGTTTAAGAACTAATTCAGTTTTCCAGCCATACTTTTCACCTCTGACTTGGTGGACTACCACTGTTATTTTAAGAAGTTTCTATTCACACAATGATTCAGCAATAATAATTTAAACGTTACGAACTCAGAATGAACAACAGCAATTCATACAATTTCTCAGGATGTGTTCGATAACCAATAATGTCTATAAGCAGAACAAGTTGCTAATCTAAGAATATTTCAAGGCATCAGTAACTTCTTATTGACAAATTTCCTATATAAAATTCTTTCAGCAACCACAAGAAGTACAAACTGCTATTTTCATCCAACTGGGTATCTTACACCAGACTCACTGAATTCAATGGCATTCAACTTAGTCTGGGCCTAGTCACAACTTCCTTAACATTCTTAAGAAAAATGACCTACAAATAGTTCTAGTATCAAAAGATACCCAGTGATTTTCACAGGAAAAGTTCAGAAACAGCTGAGAGCTTTTAGTAATAGAGATGTACTAGGCACACAGTTCCCCCAGCCAGGAAGTTTAGTCAGGCTTGTTGAAGGGGATTTCCTTCCTACACCTTAGTACCCTATCTCCTTTCTCTCTTCCCAGTTTCCTTTCCTAAGAACAGAAATTCAAAAGAAACCTAGTGCATAATACATAAATTTTAGTCCCTTTCCAGAATAACGAAGTATTTAATTATTTTTATTGCTGTTCAGTTCAGAGAAAAACACTGAAAATTCATTTGAAAGCTGGAATAAATAACAGCAGCTTTAGCAGTAAATATAAAATGTCTAAGATAACAGGTCTCAAACCTACCATTGGGTATTAAGTAATAAAAAGTAAATAACATCTCTTTATGAAGACTTCTTTACTATTGCTTTTTTTTTTTAATTATTCCAGATAACTAGCTTATACATATAAATACCTAGTCAAATTACTGTCAGCATAGTCCTCTAAAAATTGACTACTCTGCTGTTCAAAAATGGCAATAAAACACACATATGAATATGCAAATACACTAATGTATACTATTTGTTAAGCAATGGAATTCAATTCCACATGGACCAAGCAAAACTGTATTAATTGCGTAATATATATATGCCAAGCAGGCTAAACCCATGCAGAATTGGGTATTTACAACTAATAGATAAAACCAAGTTAAATAATTTGGTTTAGGTAACAAATCTCCCCATTTGAACCAGCCAGTAATCAGTGGCACCAATCAAAAGATTAATTTCTTCATGTTTTCACACATCTTTATTCTATACTTCTTGCTCTTCTAAACAATTAAAACAACCAACTAACAGCCAGATCCCAAAAGGCTGCAGACACAGATTCTCTGTCAAAACCAGCATTTTTTGAATGTTTTATCTGTTATTTTGTAATTTTTATTCTAATTAGCATGCAGTCCCTGGTCAATATGATATTCAAACAACTTTGGTATATTTTTCAAGTGCTCTAGTGGTAATCTTGAGAGAGATTCAGCCATGATAAATCTTGCTTTGCTGAGCAATTTTTTTTTTTCTGCCTTATGTTTTTGGTTACCACACACAGGTTGATTTCCAGGTTTTTTCACACAGACTGAGATTTCCATTTCATTGCTGTATTGTGTTACTGCAACAAAATCTTGCTAAAGGGCTTTGCAAACCTGAGGCCCAGGAAACAACTTAAACTACGAGACTTAAGCATTGGAATGTTTGCAATTACTCAGTTCAAAAATATTTCCCTGAAACACATCCATGACTGAAGAAAATATACACAAGTTAATTCTGGTTATAAATACATTGCTATAACATTACTGTCACGAACATGAACATATCAACTACATTTCAATCTTAAATGGATCTTTTGGTCAAG